GGGGGCGGGCTACTCCAGATGCCTAATTCCCTCAGCTCCAAACTTGCACTGCCTTATCATAAATTCCAGAGAGGAAAAAGAGAGAGATTTCTGCTGTTTTGACCTTTTCCCAAAGTTTTACAGATTCCCAATCTCACATTGTGGGGGGTGGGCGCCTCTGGGACCCTCCAGAAGTTTAGAACTATGCCTCTTGTGATTATCAGGCACCATGGTGAGTCGTCAGGGTTTGGGAGTTTTAGCCTAACCCATCTGTTAGGTCTAACTTTGCATTTTGCGTCAGTGCAGCAGACAAAACTCATTTTTAACCAACATAGCCATCCTGATTTTATCTCTGCCTCTTTTGCAGGAATCCTGTCCCAGCGGATGTTTGTCATGCTCCCCTGTGGTGGAGTCGGGGTAAGTTTTTATTTTCTGTCAGACTCGATTATTCCCACGGGGTAGGTGGTCCCGATCCTTAACTCACACAACCAGGGGTCCCTTATTCTGAAGTCAGCTTATCCCTATTCAGGCATTCCTTTCACAGACAGGCTTGCCCCATTTTGAGCATGTCACTTCCTCCATTTGGAATGTGATACATCAGCAGGTGAGATATTCCTACTTGCTTGTGCACTCTGTACATAAGACAGACCCTTGGGAAATCAGGGTTTCTGACTGCATGGAGAGCCTACGCTCAAGGAGGAACCTGGCCTATGCTTGCCCATCACTCTCCCTGTGGAGAAAATGAGGATGAAGAGGATAGGAGCCAGGCATTCCTTGGCTGGTTTGTTAGGCAGGACAGGGTGACTGAAGACTGGCTAGGCCGCATGCACTGGGCTGGCAGGAAATGGAGAAAGCACCTAACTGGAATAAAGAGGGGAAGCCTTAGATGACTTAAGCGTACCTTCCTATAACCAGCGTGGCCAGAGATCTAAGCAACCTCAGGGCAACTGAGCCACTGACCACACGTGTATTGTATGAATAAGGAATAAGCCTTGGGCTCCTTTGGCCTCATTTGGAGGGAAGACATCTGACTGCTCCTGTCCCTCAAGACAGAGAGTCACACAGCTGCTTTCCCAAGCCATTTATATGTAGGTTTCCAGCCAATTTGGAGGGAAGACATCTGACTGCTCCTGACCCTCAAGACAGAGAGTCACACAGCCATTTATATGTAGGTTTCCAGCCGTACCCATCCATTCTCCCTGACCTTGCTCCTGAGCAGACCTTCATGCATACGTGGAGGTTTTTGTTTTTTAAGGAGTGGGCTGCTCCTTACGAGGAGGCCTCAGCCAGGATCAAAGGCACAGCCAAGAGGGGAAGCCAACTGCCTGCCATTTCTGTGGTGACACAGATACTTACTTCCCTGATGGTTCTAGTCTGCCTTCTCTACCTTTCTCTGCCTCATCCTCATCATCCTGACATAGTTCTTCAGCATTTGGAGGCTTCAGCGGGCTGGGAGTGCCCCGTCAGCCCTCACGAAGGAATTCCTGTAACTGCCTAGCCCTGGACATATTATTCTAGAATTCTCCCAAGATGTTGTGAAGTCACAGTGACATCATTAATGCCCAGGAACCCATCTGGGTGGCTTGAAATCCATTTCCAGAGCCTAGATAGACTATTAAGAGCTACCAGTCAGGAGAGTCTGCAGAGGCTTTTTGTGGAACATTAGAAAAAAGTGCTTTGGCCCAAACATCTGCTTTACCTTGTCAGCCCCCACCTGCAGTCAGAAGCAGTGCAGTCCCCATGTAGCTGTACCACGTTGCCAAGAGCCACATCTTCTGTCCCATGGTTTCCAAAAAGATACTGATGGATACAGCAGTGATCCGTGAGGTTATCCATGGATCACCTGCCATTCCTGGGGGCTCCCTTTTCATCTCTGGAACTCAAACACAGTCTGGCCAGGGTGGACTTTGGAGCCACATTGCCTTTGGGAGTAGAGTTAGGTCGAGGAGAACCTCCTCGGTCCCTCCTTCTCTCTGCCTCTTGTGTCCCTCCCCCCTCTGGGCTCTTGGCCGTGTTCACTTTCGCTCACTGCCTTCTTGCGTGCCTTTCTCTTTTCTTCTTCTCTCTCTCTTTTCTCTCTCTCTTTCTCTTTTTTTCCAGGATGCTGCCTGCCAGTCCATCCCTGTTCTCCTTCTCTTAACCTGGCTGTCTTGGTCTTGCTCTCCATACCTTCCACTATTTCTCTTTCCCTCTCCTTCCTGATCAGCCTCCCTGCCTCTCCTTCCCCTGCTCCCCTGCACCCGGAGAGAAAGAACAAGCACGCGCCTGGATCGGTAAGGCAGACGTTGTTGGGGGGGGCGCTGCTCACACATGGAGTTAATCATAAGAGAATCTCTGAGGTTTTCCGGCTCTTTCTTTGCCCATGACGTGATGCTGATCAAACCAAGATGTTTGTTTTTTTGTGGGGAGAGAAGCCCAATAGACTCAAGAAGGTAACAAGAATGAGTTCCTCCTGTCACCTCCTTTTTTAAAAAATCCAACATTCTTGCCAAAAGGGGGATATACAGGACAAAACGAGTACTGTCAGAACATGACTTTGGAGCTCATGTAGATGGAGCCGCAAGACATTCTGACAGATCAGAGACAGGGCTACTTTTGGGGCCCATTGGTGTTCATTGATTAGCACTTCTTGTCAATTAATTACCTAGAAGGATGTGCATAAATTGCCAGTGTATTTTGGAGTGGGTGGATTGCTGCTCTTGTCAAACATTAACTAGCGCTTGTAGCATGAGATGTGCATTAACATTCTGACTAGCCCTCGTAAGAACCCTGTAGGGTAGATGCTTAAGTAAGATCATTCTACAGCTGGGGAAATGAATGTGAAAGATGACTTGTGGAAGGCCATTCAATGAACTGTAATATAGGTGTATGTTGGACTCGCAAGTTTCCGAGACTGAAAAACGAGGCTATGTCCATGGTCTTTTCCTTGGGCTCTGCAGCCTTCCATCCCATTTCTTGGGTTAGATGCATGAATATACATATGCTGCCAGTGGGTGTTTGGGATGTAACAGTGGGAGGCTCCATGAAATTCAACATTGAGTAACCCCCAAATTGTCTCCTCCTTGGTCCAGGTGGATAGTGACACCATCTGGAATGAGCTGCACTCCAGCAACGCAGCGCGCTGGGCCGCCGGAAGTGTCACTGAACTGGCGTTCAAGGTGGCCAGCAGGCAGCTCAAGGTAAGAAGCGACATGAATTGGGTCGGGAGGGTCATTTCTACAACAGAACAGGAAGGAGCTTGGTGCGACACTGGCACATGCACATGAACACCCTGTAGATTGGTGTAAATCTCACAGCAGGATGGCACGGGTGGCAAAAATTGATCCCAAATCTGCCAGTTTGGCTGCTATGTCTCAGGGAATAAACTGAGTATCTCCCCAATCACAGAAAATCCAACACAGAACAGAGCTTTGAAAAGTAACTTTTGGGGGTACATCATTTCCCAGGATCCTTCGGCCACCATGGCCAGCATCAACTTGATTGTGAAGCCTGTGCCAGACCTTTGGGGCCACCAGAAAACAAGGCCTATGTCCTACAGTTGACATTTTAATTTCACCGGAGGATATGATTTTGAGCAGAGCCCTGCTCTAAGTTTATGACAAGTGATCATTCACCATGAGTCCACTCAAACAGTCTGTCTCATTTTCAGCTGTGTTGATCCTCCCTATGACAAACTACGGACATAGTTTTGAGAAATTCTAACCATCCTCCTCAGAATCCCTGGTGCAGATGCTGCCCATTCCCAGCCATCAGCTGTGTTTGGCATCAGTTGCTCAGATTCCCGGTTGATCTAGGACTAAAACAGCCTTACCCAACCTGATACTCTCAAGGTTACAATTCCCATTATCCCCAGAATCCGTACTGTCATGAGCCAATGGGAGTCATACTCCTATACATCAAAGTGGGCACCAGATTAGGGAAAGGCCGTGCTAAATTTGCAGCAGCCCATCATGCCATCATCATGGCCACCACCAGGTTAATCAGATCATCCAGAACTGCTGAGAGGTAAAGTGAAAAAAAAAAGAATGAATAAAGAGTAGAAGAAAAGATGGATTAGGGAGAGGTGTTTCATTTTTCTGGTCCTTGCCACACATGGAAGTAGAAAGACAAAGGCAGCTGTTTCTGCTTCTAGGTTGAATATCTTTTCATGGGCAATCCTTTGTGGGGGGGGGAGAATTAAAGGTTGCATTTTGAAAGCTTCTTTACTGGTAATTTCCCTTCTCATCCTGTACGATGGTGCGGTATCACCTTTGCCTTCACACGGGGTGACCCCATTCCCATCAGGAACTTGAAAGGAATCTGATGATGCCACAGTGTTGGGTGGTGATTTAAATAGCTATGGCGTCTGATTTGCCAACCACTGATGTGATGGGAGTTCCAGCAAAGAGGGAGCAGCACTGCTTGGATTCAGCTGGGGGTGGGAAAAAGGTTAGTTTTCAGGCTGCAGCTGTGCTGCAAGGACCTCAGTACAGCGCGCACCCCGATGTCCTGAAATTCTGACACCCCGAAATGGCTAATTGTGTTCCCTATTTTAAAAGCCTATGTAATTCTCCTCTACGCCCTGCAAAAGCATTGGGCTCAGTGTTGCCCACTGCTTAGTTAAAATTGAACACATCTGTATCCCAGTGGTCAAGTTAAGCACATGCTTAAACCTTTTCTACTCCGCCTATGGCTATGTTCATCTTTGGCAACAAAAACTACCCAAAAAGATTTTGGCATCTCTTATGCTAGCAGTGAGAAACATACGGGTCTCTCGTAGTTTTTTCTTCCACTGGAGCTCTTGTCAAGTTTTTTCTTCCACTGGAGCTCTGTTCCATTGGCCGTACTGCCCAAGCTTGATGGGAGGGAGGCTCAGTGAAATAAAAACAAAACAAAACACTGGAGAGCCCCATGTTCCCCACCTATTTTAGGCTAACAAAAAGTATTTTGGTATACATTTTTTTATGGTCTGGATCCCACTTTGTTGATGTAGAAGGGAATTACCTGAATTAAAATATGCCTCTATTCTAGGCATAGTAACCAGAATGAGTTTCTACTTCTAGCTGTTTTGTGAGCATAATACACAGTAAGTCAGTAGCCACATCGGAAAGTAAGATAAAATATGATCAAAGAGGGGGGGATGAAGATAGGCATTGAATTACTCAGCTTGAAACCCTAGATATTGAGACATGATTCAAATCAAGCACAGCTCAGAAAAACAACCTACATGATGACTAATACAGTAGCTAACATATAATCAGATACCAGCTTTTCAGATTTCTATAACAACTTACTTTATTTAATACATGTTGTGTTCAAGGTACTAATGTTTCAAGAATTGTGGCTGGAGAACTGCTGGATAGCTTTGTGGTTGAAGCATCTGGTTCCAGAGTCAGAGGCCTGGAGTTCTATTCTCCACTGTGCCTCACTCAGTTATCTATAGCAGTGGTTCCCAACCTTGGGCCTCCAGGTATTCTTGGAGTAGAACTCCCAGAAGCCTTCATCACTAGCTATGCTGGCCAGGATTTCTGGGAGTTGTAGTCCAAGAACACCTGGGGATCCAAGGTTGGGAACCACTGGTCTAGGGTTCCTTGTAGCTGAAGAGTTCTAAGATGATGATGATTGTTGCCCAGTACTTATAGCTGAGGAGGATCAAGGGAAAGGGAAAGGTCACTAAAGATTTGCACACAGTAGGATTACTAGTTAAAAAGAAAAATCAACAAGAAAGGCAGAAAGAGAATTAGGTTCAGATTAACAAAACAAAATGTTGGGAAGTATAAAAGCCATTTGGTATACAATCAGCAAAATACAGTAGTATTTTCAATTATCTGCTACTGACATTTAAGAAAAGCGAAAAATAAAATAAGAACTGCCTATGGAACTTCAGTGACATCACAGAAACCCTGTGATTTGAAAGAGCTGGTGAGATTCTTGTTCAAGATATCAAGCAAAAGCTGCAATGAGGGAAGTCCCAGCTTTCTTCCCCATCACACCACCCTGGTGTTTTCCTAATATAGTGCTGTTTTGCAAAACGTCAGAAGTGCACAGTCTGGCTTTCTTGGTTGAACAAACTGCTGAATCAGTCCAGAGCAATTTGGAACCATTTCACCCTATTCTGAAACAATCCAGACTTGCACATTGGACTCGACGATGGAATCATTCCATATCAGCCCCGATTTGGTCTGGGATTCAATCCGATTCCCAATCCTAGATCAGATTCACAGCCTTACCAGTAACAATAAAAATGTCAAAATGTCTGCCACGTTGTTCAGACCAGTTTGTGTCTATGTGTGCGTTTTGTAAAGTAACTATCAAAGGAGGAAAAAAATATGTGTAATATACACAAATGTATATTATTTGTCTTGCAGAATGGCTTTGCTGTTGTACGGCCCCCGGGACACCACGCAGACCCCTCAACAGCTATGTAAGGACAGCACCACTCCTTGTCCTCTCCTTCCTGCCCACAACAAAACTTTCCCTATCCCCATCTATTTCTTTCTCTCACCCGCCACCCGCCACCCTACTAGTTTGGGTTCTTTTAAAGGCACTTGTGCTTCTGCAACTCTTGGATCACGCTGATGCCTCCCTCATGGGTATGTAGGCTGTAGTTTCGGCTGCATGAAGGTCTGTGCTTGGGAGAAGGAATCTGCTGTTAGGCCATGAGATGGTGATTTATGTATTCCATTTCTATATAAAGCCTTGGCACCAGTTCACATATGCAAGGGCATCGCTCCACTGCTGAACATCTGTTGGCTTTCAGCTTGGCGCGGGGAGTGACTCCTGTTAAAAGTCTTCCATTGGAGGTGATGCAAAAGCTTTGTTTCTGGCGTTTGATCTCTCGGCTGCTCGTTGCTTTGTTTCTGGCGTTTGATCTCTGATTCCTCAGTCGCATGTGGAAATTGCCACCTGATGTTGCCATTACAAAGTTACAGGGGTGATGGTGGACCCAGCCCTTGTTCCTAAGACTCCATAAAAGTTAGACCCAATTCAGAGCCCTTTCAGCAGAGTCTTGAACCTCACTGCCTTGGCAAGTGTTTAGGGGTGGGGGAAACCAGTTTCTCCAGTTCTGGGGCAGCCTCAAAACATGTACCTCTAAGTCCAGCTAAGGTCCGAAAGTGGAAGAGTGCCATAAAATCTGCCTCTTTCCCTGTTCAAGACCATCCCTTCTCTGGGGCTTGGGGGTTGTATTCTTATTTTAAATCTCGGGGTTTGGAAATAACACATCAAATGTAACTCTGTAACTTTGTTCTCTAATGAGGAGCATGCCTGTGACATTTAGTCCGTTTAATTTTTAGAAAGGGCAAGATCATGGTCTTACGCAATGAATTATGTATCCTTTTTTTTACGAAAACATTGGTGGGATTTTTATCCTTTGTTTTTGATGGGTGTAAAAATAATAATGGAGTAATGCTGGCACTGCTACGTCCGCAAAGTATTTATAGCATTGGGTCACTTGCAAGTAGTGGATGACGAAGGAAATGGCCTTTTGTTTTTAAAAGGCTGATGTTTGCGCAAGGGAGAGGGAGCGACTGCCATCTGCCCCACAGAGGCAGAGTTATGCCCAGAGCGGGGCCTGAATGCCAGTGTGGGATCTGGGACTCAGACTTGAGAGATCCAGGTTCAGATTTGCACTGAGCTGTGAAGGTCCCTGGAGGGCCTTAGGCCAGCCAACATCTTTCAGCCTACCTCACAGGCTTGTTGTGGGGATTAAAGTTAGAAGGAAGACAGCCGCCAACAGGTCTTAGAGTTCATGGGAGGAAATCTAAGATAACAATGAAACTACAAAATACAAAGAAATAAAATATAATCTATTTGAGGGAAACTACCAAAGACATTGCTACTCCTTGTTTCTCATACTTCCTTCTTTTCTCCTTTCTGGCCCAGGGGTTTCTGCTTCTTCAACTCCGTGGCCATTGCAGCCAGGCAGCTCCAGCAGAAAGGGAAAATCGGCAAGATCCTGATTGTAGACTGGGTAGGCCTCTGTTCCTGCAAATATTCCCTTCCTCTTTTTACCTTGTGCATTTATTTCCTAATTATCCTTGCCAAAGGGTAAAAGCTGGGCAAGGCATTGAAGGTATGATGCTGGCAACTTAAGAGATTTACATCCTACCTGACAGGCCTCACACATTCACTCCCTTGATTCCCTTTCCCCCCCCCTCTTTTTTTTCATCAGGACGTTCACCATGGCAATGGAACACAGCAAGTGTTCTACCGGGATCCAAATGTCCTCTATATCTCTCTGCATCGCCATGACAACGGCAACTTCTTCCCTGGAAGTGGAGCAGCTGATGAAGTGAGCCCCTTTGCTCCCTTAAAACAAGAAGGGGCAACCTGAGGGATACATGCAACCCCTTGTTGTTGTTTGTTGTTGTTCCCACATCACAGAAAGTAGGTAGGTAGGTAGGTAGGTAGGTAGGTAGGTAGGTAGGTAGGTAGGTAGGTAGGTAGGTAGGTAGGTAGGTAGGTAGGTAGGTAGGTAGGTAGGTAGGTAGGTAGGTAGGTAGGTAGGTAGGTAGGTAGGTAGGTAGGTAGGTAGGTAGGTAGGTAGGTAGGTAGGTAGGTAGGTAGGTAGGTAGGTAGGTAGGTAGGTAGGTAGGTAGGTAGGTAGGTAGGTAGGTAGGTAGGTAGGTAGGTAGGTAGGTAGGTAGGTAGGTAGGTAGGTAGGTAGGTAGGTAGGTAGGTAGGTAGGTAGGTAGGTAGGTAGGTAGGTAGGTAGGTAGGTAGGTAGGTAGGTAGGTAGGTAGGTAGGTAGGTAGGTAGGTAGGTAGGTAGGTAGGTAGGTAGGTAGGTAGGTAGGTAGGTAGGTAGGTAGGTAGGTAGGTAGGTAGGTAGGTAGGTAGGTAGGTAAGATATCACCTTAGGGAGGGGGGCGATGATAACTTCCTCAATGGCTCAAGGGGGCATTTCTTTCAAAAAGGTTAAGAACCACTGCTTTAAAGCAAAGTATGCACGGATGCACACCTTCTGTGAAAGTAGAATGGCATTCCCAGATTGCCAGAGTCATTCTACTTGTCAGATTGCCAAAGCAGGATGGCATTCCCAGAGCCTTCTTTCCCCAAACATGTTTGTTTCTGCAGAAATTCCAGGGGTTTTGCCCTTAGCCCCATAGCAGCACAATTTGGTGGCATGGCAATGTGATGTGATCCCCTCAGCAGGCTTGGAAAAAAACATACAGCCCCCCCCCCCATCCTGGAAGTTGCCAGTAATAATGTTCAATTCATGGTGACTGTTGTCTAGGTAGGAAATACTCAGAAGTGGTTTGCCCTTCCCTTCTTCTGGGGGCTGTCCTGGGACTGTGGAGCTTGCCCCGAGGCCACCCAGGCTGGCTCGTCTTCCAGTACGGAATTGAACAACCATCCTCTGGATCCAAACATCATAGTGTCTAAATCCTGGAGCGATCCTATCCCTCTCTGAGATGCCCACATGCAGGAGTGAACAGCTAAGGAGCTGTTTCTGACTTGGAGACAAACTGCAACTCTTTGCAGTGGGGCACAGAACAACTGAGCAGCAGCCGATTTAGTCTCAAAGCGCCTTGATCCCAAACTGCCTCACTGACTCCATAAAGAAATTCACAGCTTTAAGTTTGGAAGAGCAGAGCAGAGTGTTCAAGAGGTCGGACCTTTTTCGGGGAGCAGCTCACCTACTCATAGTACAAAATCCTGCTGCATTAATATGCATGGAGAAGGCAAGCCCCACAAAGGCCCCCCAGTGGCTTCTTCTTGCTGGCAACATGTTGACCATTTAGATTTTGGGTCATATGCCAACCGACTGGACTGGTAGGCCCCAGAAAATCCAAGTCAGGAGTTTTTCATTAGCAGCAGGAAGCAAGATGAAGCTCATGGGCTGGTAGCGGCTCTCGGGGGTCCAAACACCTTCCTAGAACTCCTACCCTCCCCGCACATTAAACATTGATTTTAAAAAAATGTATGGAAAAGTCCCCTTGGGCCCTCTGTGGGTTGACAGAGGCAACTTTGCGGTCCCTGAGCAGCCCAAGAACTATCCCGCGCATCCCCATTCTCTTATTTTACTGTTTTGGCCACTAGAGGGCAGCATGTAGCTTGTCAATGAAACCTACATACTGTAATTTGTAACAAAGTCTATGAAGAGAGGAGACAGTCACCGGAGCAGATGCTGCCCTCCAGATTTTGGGGATCAACATGTGCAGTCCCTAGACTTATGGACATTGCTTCCCCCCCACCACCAGCATTGGCTCTCTAGATGAGCCAGAATGTGAAGAAAATGGGGTCCCTGGTTCACATGGAGAACCATCAGGAATAGGTAGTCCCTGCTTACTCATAATGAATGTGACAGTGCAGAGAAGAGATTGACCTAGCACAATTCCCCTTATCCCTGTTTGGAGTACACATACTTTCATTAACAGCTGGATAGTTCTTTTCACTGCCTCTTAGGAATGGTTGAGTCACAATGTTGGAATCAAGGTAGAAGCCAGAGCTAGCAGGAGGTTCCCTTCTACATGACTCTTAAAGGTACAGGAGCTCTTTTAAGGGTTAGACCTAGGAATCTCAGGCCCCCTGTGTCCTTCACCTACTACAGCCTCCATGTTTCTATTGCAGGGGTGGGAGGGAGATGTTTTACCCTCCTAATATTAGATTGCAATTAGCTTTAGCCAGCATAGCCAGTGGAGAGGGACGATGAGAGTAGTAGTTAGATTATATCCAGGGGACTATCAATCTTCCAGTCCTTTTCCAATTGCCCTTCTTTCGAGTTTCTCCATCTGAAAGGTGATAAACTTCTTTCAGCCCAAGGGCCAAATTCAATATCAGAAAAGATAGTAGGGGTTAAATTCTAGTGGTACCCGGGGCCCATGTTTAACTATTAGAGCCTGTCTCGCCAAGGCATTTTTAGCTGACACCCGTTACTGCTAGGAACAAAGCTTTAGGACAGGTCTTTCAGCTTTTTTGAATGAAACAGAGGAAACATACATAAAAGCTGTGCAGCTGTCAAATGATAGCCATCGGGACAAGCCTGAAGTTGGGATCCTGGGAGAGAGCAGGATCAGGCCCTAGGATGGGAGCTTCCTCTTTCATGCCCTGTCTTCTGCCTGCATCCATCCTTTCCCTTCAACCACCTTGCTTGTTGGTTCTCCAACCATTGGGTCCGTCACTAGCAGGGATCCCTGACTAGCCGGCTTTCCACACTCTCCCTCCACCCCCTACACACAGAGTTTTTAAATTCAAAATTAACTGACAGCTCTCACTTCCTCAAAAACTGTTAGACTTGGGGACATATTGTAAGTGGCAGCACCAGCTTCACCCTGTGAGTGACTGCAGTGTTTCTCAACAGCAGCTCAACCCATCCTCCTTATGGCAAATTTTTCTTTTTGGGCTGGAACCTCCCATCTGGTGGCCACTGTTCATCCTTGCTGATGGATTTTGGGAGTTGTAGTCTTTAAAAATATACTATACAGTGAGCTCTTGGGACTTCATAAGAGTTTAGGCCTGTGTCCGTCCAGAGTTTACATGACACCTCGACCCATTTCATCAGCTGACAAAGGGAACCACCTCATTAGGCACAGAAAGGCCATTTCTGAACCACTTGTGAAAGTTCTTTGGAGAGAGACTAAGCTGGAGGTCTCCCAACTTTAGCAGGAGATGGTCGGGGAGGAGGGCAGCCAGCCGGGGAGCATAGGCTGAACTCTCTGGCATTTTGTATCCATCATGTTTTATAACCTGCTTTCAAAGGGACTTAGCGCTGAGAGTGGCCAGGACCAGAGCAGGCCCTCATCTGGTTCTCATCTTTCCCTCTGAGAAGGAGATATCAAAGGAGCTGAGGGATTGTTTATGATGCTGTGCTTGGATCCCTGGGAGACTGCAGCGTATCACTCCAGGCTCCCACCCCACCCCCCCTTCTTCCAATCACCCCTTTATGAGCTGCTTCCCCCTCCTTCATCCACCCCACTGTCTATTTTGAAGTTTTAGCTCTGTCGAAATGGAAGTCTGGAGCAGTATTCTCAGGGCCTCTGGTGTGGATCTCTCACATTCTTTCTCCCTCCTGTCACCCAGCTAGCATATATTACATGATCTGGAAGCACTTCAAAGATGGTCTCCTTCTGCCCCACCCCGCCCTGCTTCTTTTTTTTCCCTTCCTTCTCGCTGGCTGTCATGGAAAATACACCATCCTGGCCTCTCATGCAGAATTCCACTCCTGTCCAGTACCATCTGGGCATGAGGGTTGCTTTCACACAAGTTGCTGATCCGATCTGATGTTGTACCCCAAGGAATGTAGAAGCATTCTTTGTTTCTATTTTTATTATTTTGGAGGGAGGGGTGGGACCAACAGGTCCCCAGTAAATAAAAGTTATTACATTTTAAAAAAGATTTTACAAATGCTGTCTTCCCAAGGATAATGAAGGTTGTGGATTGCTTTTGTTACTTTCAAAGCCATAAGTCTAGGTCTAGATTCGAGGCATACAACTCAGATTGCTACTAGAGCTATTTCACTCTAATGCAATGTCATTCCGTGTAAGAGTGAATGAGAGTCATGTTCTGGTCGGGCCACAGGCTGGGTTCGCCTTCCATGAATACTAATAAAAATACCGGATGCTGGGACATGCTTCAGATTTGCTGTTTCCTTTAGAATTATAGTATGCGAGTCAAGAGGTTAACCACATACACACAACCCTGAAAGCAACACGATGTCTCCTCTTGTCATGTTTTTAATTTATATTGGTGCCGTGTTTTTAATCAAGATTTTACAATTTTTCATCTGTATTTTATTATTGTTGGCCGCCTTGAGTGCCTTATTTGGCAGGAAGGCCGGATGTACAATAATTAAAATAATGTAGGCACACTAGTTTAAAGTTGAACCCTAGCCTCCATTATATCATACAACTGGAAACCTTTTGCAGAGGAGAAAAGAAATCCATGTAACTCCTATACACAAGAACCTTTTGTCAGGCAGAGGTGAAGGGGAGGGGGATCCTTTGTAAGCATTTTATATAACATTAATTTTGTATTTCACCATGTTAACTAACCACACTGTATTTTGGAACTGCATGTTGCTTTCTGGATCATCTTTATATGAGAAAATAGCATACAGTTGAGAGCTGTGATATGCATGGTTTATGTCCCATTCAAACCCTTCTAAAGTCCTTCAGCCCTAAAGTTCTTCAGCAGTGCCTTGCTACAGGCTTCATCCTTTGGAGAAACTCCAAGAAGTTGGGGTCTTCTCAGGGTTTGGCACCACATCCTGTTCAGACAAATCACATTACTGCATTGGGCATCCTGTGAAAAATTTATAGTTTACAGCAAAATCGTAGCTACCCAAGATAGCTGAGGGCCAGGAAGAGCTGTGCTGAATCTGATACTCTCCTGGACCATGGATATTAGTAGTTTGAATTCTTCCCATCTTAGCCTAATGTGCTGGCATAGTGCCTGTGTCTCTGTACTGCAATTCCGCTCTTCCCTAACTGAACCACTCAGCTGCCACCATTTTTCTTGCACATGCACGGACACATGGCCATCTTTTCTGCTAGCAGATCTTACCTAGCACAACAGTTCTCTTGACAGATCTCTTGAGAGCAGCCAGTGGCAAAAGATTATGCATGGCATTTCTACCATCATAACTGGATTTCTTCTGGTAGAAAAAGTTTCTCCCTGTCTTAAACTCCCTTCAACCTCCACTTGTTTGAGTTAGGATAAACTCCTCAGATAATATTCTGGACTTACTACTGTTCCTTGCCATTACAATTGCTGTTAGCTTTGCTTTTGTTTCGTGTCCCATAACAAAACTCATTTTGTATAGTGTCTTGAGTAACAGTTTTGAAAGATCTACTGTTTCATTTTTCAAGGAAAACAAATGTCAGCGTTGCCTAAGAAGCTCTTTCTTGAATAGATTCAAAAGTGCTGTTCTGTCTCTGCATAGATTTTTGTGCTGAACCTTTGAATGTGAGCCACAAACAGGAAATAACTAGTTTTAATCTGAATGTTTAGAAGTGCCTGACATGATGGTGCGAGATGCATGTGTACATATTTGTGTATCTCCCTCCTTACTCCAAGGAGCTTAGGTCCACCTTTTCTCCTCACAACAACCAGATGAGGTTAAAATGAGGAGCTCAGGTCACCCAGTTTATGTTTGCTTCAGGGCTTGCGTGTGCATCAAACCCTGGGTCTCCCCGGTCTTCGTCCAACCTGCCAACCACTGCACCCGAGCTTGAAAAAAATATATTTTAGAAGGATAGTCACCAAAAGTAAATTTTCCAGACTTAGCACTGAAGCATGACACCAGTTCACTGTGTGCTGACATAACGTAGTGAAAGCAAAGGCCCAACATGATGGAAACCAGGATGCCCTTGAGTAGAGAAGACATATCCCTATGTTCAGAAATTTATTTCCCTTCTAAGGAAAGCTTTTTTCCCTATGAGAACGAGTAAGATTGTGTCACTGGAGAAAACCCCTGAGGTAAAAGTCAAGCCTGTTCCCTGCCCTTTATGATCTCATCCACTTGAGAGTCAATTCTGATCTTAAATGGTGTCGTCCCAACACGGGCCCTGTCTCTTTATTTCCACCACTGCCTAATGTAATTTTGGGAACTGGCTTTTATGGAGAGTGAGGAGCAGAGGACAGAGATAAGAGAGGGAGAGATGATAGCTTCCAGAGATGTAGCCACTTAAATCTTGTAGCTGTTTTTCCCCCCTTTTGTGAATGATACCCTTCTGAGTGATTAGGGCAGTAAAGATCTGCTCAGTTTGTCAGTTGTCCCCAAGGATATTGTGGGTTGTCTCTGCCTTTGGAAGAATCCAAAAAATGCTAACGTTTGGACTTGTGTCATGTGAGCTATTGTGATATCATAATACAGAAGCAGAGTCCATTTTAAAAAAAAGATTTAAGAACACATCCACAAGTTGAATAGCTTGTGCTGCTGTTTTCCTGGGATTGTGAGCTGTCTGCAGGTTCTCAAGTTTTGAGAGGGTACCAGCCTTTCTCTGGATACTCAGAGGACGTTATCTTGTACATCAGCAGGCACCAGTTCTAGGTTGCACATCACATTTGATTGAAGGGATCATCTGAACCACATGGACCTCCACGTGTTGTTGGTGGTTATCAAAACTTTTCAGTTACTTTAGACCAGTGGTTCCCAACCTTGGGTTCCCAGATGTTCTTGGACTACAACTCCCAGAAATCCTGGCCAGCATAACTGGTGGTGAAGGCTTCTGGGAGTTTTAGTCCAAGGACACCTGAGGACCCAAACTTTAGAATCACTGCTGTAGACAGTTAAAAATCTTTTAGGAGTTAAACTGTAAAATTAACATGGTATGCTGTTTGAGGTAAAGGAGATAAATGTTATGGACCTACATTTCTCATCATCCCTCCCCACCAGTCATGCTACCTAGGCCTAATGGGCATTGTAATTCAGCAGTGCTAGAAGGAGGCCTGTGGTCTTCACCCCTCCTTTAGATATAAGGTCATATCTTGGATGCTGTGCATGTTGCTGCTGAATGCAATGGTATGTGATTTGAAGCCTAACTCATATCTTGGTACTTCTCATGAAACCTGCCTTAAGGCCAGACTAAAAAAGGAACACACCATTACAGTACACAGACATTTTTTTTCTTTTCCTCTTCCAGGTGGGTTCTGGTGCTGGTGAAGGCTTCACTGTCAACATGGCTTGGACAGGTGGCCTTGACCCCCCAATGGGAGACCCAGAGTACTTGGCTGCTTTTCGGTAAGTCTTCTCCTAAGCTCCTGGACTATTTGTTGTGCCAGTACTTCTGATGGATCTTTCTTGCTTTATCCTAACAGAGCCACCTCTTAATAGCTTTTCAGAACAAGTGGAAGAAGCAAAGTATAGGTTCTGGAGAAGTTCTGCAAATGGCTTGATGGAAATCTTGACCATATGGGCAAAAAACCAAAAAAAAACCCCTCAAAAACTGGATCATCTTTTTCTACAGAAGGAACACATTTCCTGTTTGGAAACTGTTTCTCAAGCTTGGGGCTCTCCATCAGCTGTGGCCATGGACCGGCTTCTTTCTAATTCCCATTTTATAGGGGTAGTTGCTACAGTGATAGGTAGCAACTCTTCTCCTCCCCCCAAAAAGGTATTCCAAAAATTTAGACGAGGTGGAGGTGTGAAACCAAATAAGAAGGACTCATGGGAAAAGAAGCAGACCCCACCTTCTGTGGAAGCCCAGTAGGAATGAGCTGCTTCCCTGCAAAATCAGCTTCTGCTTTATTTCTAAAGTTGTGTGACTGGAGACCTCATTCTTCTGGATCTTGCCATAGATATTGTCGAGGTTTAGCTACTAAACAAAGCAGGTGTTGCCTGCATCAGAACTGAGAACCTGAACAAACAAAAGCTTAGTTCAGTTCTCCTTATCCAAGGCTTTAAAAAAAAAAACTAAAACATTTGGATCAGCTCCCTTCTTGCTCATGTGAAAACTGGAGTGTGGCTCATTCTTAACCTGGAGATATCATGTTGGGAACCTTGGGCCCTGTAGGAGGAGCCTAATTTGTGGCTCCTCTTTCATGGCTGCATTGCCTCAGTTTCTTGCACAGCCTGAAACTTCCCACAGAATGCTTGAAGTATAAAGCAGTCCTGTAGAGCATTTGGAGATGTTCTAAAGCCTTTGCATCTCTTTGTTTGTTCCATTCCTTACAACCAATCTGCAATGTTGGTTAATCTTGCTGATCATATGCTGTAAAAAGGAAGTTGATTAAGGGTGGTGCAGAGTAGCTACCTAATGATTTAATAGCAGAAACAAAACTGGAGACTTCATGGATTTTTAGCTGCTTATTTTTAGCTAGACATGATGGCGTTCAAAGCAGCGCAAAGTGTGGTGCTTATATACCACCCCATCATGCTTAGAGCACTCTCTGGGTGGTTTGCAATTTAATTATCCATTCTACATATTGCACCCTCCCCCATGCAAGCTGGGGTCAGATTTGATGAACTCATAGGCCCCCTTTAATTCCATCATTCTGTGATCCTTCACTATTTGTTATTCTAGCTAGCACGGATGGGGGTTGAGATCAAGATTGACTACGCCTCTCCTGACCCCCCCCCCATGCTTTTCAAAGAACCATTCACACCACTGCTCATTGCATTAATGGCGCCATTTTGAGATTAGCCACCCACTGCATGAGTCCACAGGCACGTGGTCAGCTTCACAGCACCCTGAAGGGGGGGGGACGCTGCAGCAGCTCCCACACTGCAACTAGACCGTGAGAATGGGGGCCCTTCCAGTGTGCGTTCACCACATGGCCTGAGCCAGCACCACCAGGATTCAGGCCTCCGTGAAGGAAGCCAACTGCGCTTGGCCACCGCCCAGCTTGGAATCACGCATCCGATCCGTGCCAAGCCTGGGCTTTGGCGAGAGGCCATCCTCCCACAGCTGCCCGGCATATGTGCTTTGATTGCACTTGAAAGGCCTCTATAAATAGTCCTCCCCTCTTCCCGGTTCTTTGGCTGCACGCAGAACTGCAGCTCCCAGGCCCTGGGCCAAGCGTGGCTCTTTGAGGCCCTTGCCAAGCGCAGCCCGGCTGATGGATGGGCCTTTGGGGAAGGCCGGGGCTTTCGTCCCATCGGGCAGCTTTGGGGGGCCTGTCAGGCTCTCTGGAAGGGGGCTGGGAAAGGCTTGCACCGTGGGGTGTCTCCAGAGCAGCTTGAGTCCAAAGCCAGTTTCCCCTTTGCCATGGCTGGGAAAGGGTCCAAACCTAGGATCTGTCATTATCTCACGGGGAGTGCCAAAGAAGAGTCTCCTGGTGGAAACAAAAGACTCTGGGTTTCTTCCACGCAGAGGCAGAATATGTGCAAGTATACACAGAAGTCTGTGAGGGACAAGAGGAGTAAGTGGAGAAGCAAGATCTTCTGAGCTTCTTATATGCCATAATTGCCGGGGGGGGGACTTTTTTTTTGATGAGTGTGACGTATAATATAGGGACAAAACTCTGCCTGGCTTAACATCCTGTTTGGATTACTGTGACACGCCCTACATGGGTCTGCCTTTGGAAACTGTTTGGAAACGTCAGCAGGCCCTGTCTGGTGCTGCTAGACTGCTGGCTGGAGCTGGCTGCAGGGAGAACAGATACCCCTTGGAACCGCAACTTTGTTGGCTCCCAGTCCATTCCTGGGCACAATTCAAAGTGCTGGTTTTAAGTTATAAAGCCCTAAAGAACTTGGATCTAGGCTAGTTGAAAGGGGCCTTTCCCTGGGTCCTGCTGCCCTCACAGGCAGGCTTGGTGTGGACATACTATAAGACCGGACTTTCTCAGTGTCTGCTCCCGGGCGGAGGAACTCCCTTCCACGGGAGACCGGGCTGGATCCTCTGCCTTCTGTCCTTCTGCTGGCAGGCAAAGAGACTGGCCTTTTCAGGCAGGTTTTTAATAAATAAAGTCTGTAAACTATTGCTGAAGAAGGGATTTTTGAGGGACAATGGTTATTTTGCCTTTTTAAAAGAAGCATTTGTCGCTGGTTTTATTTTATTTTTCAAAATTTTACATGTTTAATACTTAAATGTTTAATAGTTTTAAAAGAATATGATTTTTATGTTTTGCATTTATTAAATGTTTGTGGTTGTTTTTTTTAAGCAGCTGTAAGCAAAAGGCTGGAGGATTCTAGGAGTTGTGGTTGAAAAAAGTAACTTTGCTGAGCACTCACTGTCAGAGATGCTGACTAATCTAGCCTGGTTCTGTTTTTCCCATTGCAGAACGGTTGTGATGCCGATTGCCCATGAGTTCTCGCCAGATGTGGTGCTGGTCTCAGCAGGCTTTGATGCAGCCGATGGCCATCCTCCCCCACTGGGAGGTTACAAAGTCTCAGCCAAATGTAAGGCCTCCTCGGTTATCTCCACCAAGGGGACTGATTGGGAAGGGTAGCCCGCAGCCAGTGAGATGTAGAATACAGTGTCCGCTAGCACCAGGTGACTCGTCCAGGCAGCAGGAGTTCCTTGTTCAGTAGACAGGGAGAAGATACACACCCCTTTAGGGCCGTTGCTGGTTGCTCTTTCTGCCTCTGTTTAGCATGCAGAAGCTGCAGCAAACAGAGTCCAAGAGACTGAGCCACAGTCTGGCTCAATGTCCCAAAGACAGCCAGAAAATCAACCCCTGTACGTACTTAGCAGTGTATATTTGGAATACGTTTTGTCAAAGAAGGGATTACAAAGGTCTGGTTAGAACACCAGTGCAGAGACTCCGATGCAGTTCCCTGCAGAGCTGGGAGTGCAGGTTGCTTCTAGATCTGCAGTGCTCAGATGCCCCCCTTGAACCCCCTTGTGCCCTTCTGTCCAGAATTACCATAGTCGTCATCAGTGGTGGAATCAGCACTTCAGAGCTTGTCTTCTGAATCAGCCTTACGTCCGTGTTGGATGGATGATCATCTGAGAGAGAAAGAGAGAATACTCAATACCCTTAGCAAGAGAGCAGTTTATTGAAGGTAGCAGCCTATGTTTCACGGTACTACAGGACAGGGTGTGTGTGTGTGTGAGAGAGAGAGAGAGAGAAATGTAGAGCTCCATCCTCCCAAGAGAGAGAGAGGAAAAGCCAGAGGTTTGGCAGAATAGCGGGAGGGCTGTCACAGAGATTGATCCAGCACCTGCCACCTGAGAGAGTTGCCTCACTGTGCCCAAGGGAAGTTGACAGGCCCTGGTTGACAGGGAGTCCCATAAGGGCTAACGCTCTGGTCCCCTTTGGCTTTCTCTGCAGGTTTTGGCTATATGACCAGGCAGCTGATGAACGTGGCTGGAGGGGCCTTGGTCCTTGCCCTGGAAGGAGGCCATGATCTGACAGCCATCTGCGATGCCTCAGAAGCCTGCGTCTCTGCCCTGCTGGGTAACGAGGTGAGTCGGAGCCCATGCTTCACAAACCAAAGAAGATCATCCAGGCCTCGTTCTGAGGCAGAATGTCATTCTAGGGCTTGTTTTCACTACTAAGCCTCAACTGTAGAACATAGGACAAAATAATGGATGATTTCTCACAGTAAGAGATCGCCATTTCCTCACAGAGACAGTCTTAAATGGAGAGGTCTCTACAAATGAGACCTGGGTGAAAGTAGCATGTAATCCATTTTTTCCATGAAATCTAACAAAGAATGAGACTAAAAATCAGCAGCCAAATGATAAAGAACATAAAAGAGATGGATAGAAATGAGGCAAAACTCAAAACGACAGGATCAAACAGGGTCTCACAAGGTATTGAAGTGGCAAGAAAGAGCCAGCCACTGGATTGGGCGATGGGGTGTCTAGATGCTGTAGTCTAAAAAAAGTAACTTTCCTAAGCTCTCCTCCTGTGGTAGGTTGTAATAAAGCCTGGATGTGCAAAACAGGGTTATTTGTCTTTGTTGGGAAGTTGGCAGAAAAATATTCTCCACAGAAAGAAATGTTAATGTGATGAATCCTTTCCTATGTGCCTATCCCAATCCCATCCTACCATTTTCCCATGAAGCATCAGATGGCGGGGATGTTCTCCACCCATTCTCTTCCCAGAAACATACCTGTGAGGTAGTGTCATCCAGAGGGGGGGAATGTAAAAACGCAGGAAAGGATCTGCTCGATTAGATCAAAATCTTATCTTTGCCCAAGAATGCCTCTTCAGGGAAATTGCCTTCTTCCACTCTTCTGTCCCACAACTGGAATTCAGATACTTGCTGATCCTTGGACTTGACTTGTTTGATTTATTATATGTCTGCAGCCAGCCATTAGCAAATATTTTGTGGGCAATTTACAGAACAATGTAAACGTATGAAGTTCTATAATTGAAAACAATGGCTGACAAAATGCAGCGTTCAAAAAGTTCTTCCAATAAAGACAATAAGGCAATAAAAATCGGCTCAGATTTTTAAAACCTTATTGAAACCACAAGAATCCAAGGAATATTTAAAAGGCTTCAGTAAATTAAAAAGGACGTCACCTAAGACGGCATCAAGCAGTCTTCTCCAAGGCGGTTGATCCATAGCCAGGGTCCCACTATGGTGAAAGAAAGCCCTCTGCTTAGCAGCCACTTTATCCATTTTGCTTGGCAGCGATATGTGGGACAGCCCTCCCGCAAGGCCCCTAAATAGAGATAGGTACCTATGGGTGAAAGCGATCTTTCAAATTAATTGGGCCCAAGCCCTTTGGAGTTTTACCGGGAAATGTTAGTGCATTAAATTGGTCCTTCAAATGGACTGGGAGCCAGTGCAGCTGTTAAGAAGCACAGACATAATATGGCTGAAGCACCGAGGCCTCCTTAATATCCTGCTTCAGGCAACACTGTGGGGCCAGCAGTGGCACCCTCCCATATGTTCTTCCTGATTTTCCCCGTCTGTTCCCCTCGGTTTGAGGATAGGGCTGGGTGTGATATGTGAGGGAGCTAGCTTGGTCCCTCAGGTGATGTGGAGAACCCTACCCCATGACTGGTGGAGGAGGAGGTTTGAGCCCCAATTCGGTTAGTTTCTGCACATAGAAAAGAGGAGGCAGATACGAGGTACTGGGCTTGCCCTGTCTGCTACGGTGTGCAGTCTCAGCCTTGTGTGTTTTGTACACATCACAGCAGTGCAGTAGACCTGTCTCTTCTTCTCCCCACAAGCCTGAACCGTTTGAAACTGCGCTGATTTTTAGTTTGTTAAATTGTGAGTGCCCACCAGTCCCTGCGTGTTTTGCTTCCTACAAAATAAAAAGGAAACAAAAAATCCCTCCTTTGTGGAAGTCAGTGCCAAAGGAGTACAGGCAAACTAGTATGGCAAGCTGACCAAGTTAATTAGTAAACGAACCAGTAAAGTTCTAGAAAAGAAACCAAGAGAATAGGGAACAATAAACAGAACAACAAAGGTTTGCAGAGCATACTTAAAGACCTTCTCTTCAAAGAGTTTCTGAGCGGTCTTTGATTTTTCCAGTTAACCAGATCAATTTATAGCCAGAATAGTTTTTCTATGAAGTAGTCACTATATCTAAGGTTAGTGATAGCTATTATTTACTGTGAAGGAATGGTGGTGTCCAGGTGCCCATCTTTGCTGCACAAACAAATCATGAACCTTTCAAACTTCAGTGCAACATGCCTTCCCTTTTCCTCATAGTGTGAGTACAGTGATCACAGTGCAGTTCCAAAGTTGCAGCTTTTGCACCACCATCACCCTGAGGATGCTTTTTTATGACTCCAGGAAGCTTCACAATTGTGAGGGTGCATGCATGGGACCTACTGGCTTAGTCAGTTAGAGACAACTGTATGGCCCTGTCTGAAGAAAGATAGTTGTCTGCAAAGAAACTGTTTTTATTTGTTCAAGAAAATGTATGCAACAGGAGTGGGAATCAGGCAGCCCAAGAACCATATATAGCCGATGAAGGTCATTCCTGGGGGGGGGAGGTGTCCCAGAAGCCCTTGAGAGCACCTTGTTTGAGCAGCACTCCTTTCAAAAACAGGAGGGGAGTTAAAATCTAGAAGTAACTTCTAGTTGCATCTGAAGGGGTTGGTGTTGCCCGCAGAGGATCTTGGGACAGGTGATACAGTCTCCAGAGTTTGTCTAGCCCTGTTGTATAATGCTGGTACACACAGTCAGGTATCTTGAGATTTCATGCGGATGCATACATTTTTGAATACATGCGCTGAGAAAAGCAGCTGCCTGAAAACCCCTTTGTGTTTCCATAGCTGGAGCCCTTTCCAGAAGAGATCCTCCAGCAGAAGCCCAACAGTAACGCCGTGCGCTCACTGGAGGCTGTGATCCAGGTGCAAAGTAAGTGGGGAGGGGGTCCTTCCTGAACATCAAGGAAGAAAAAGAGGTGGGGGTGCGGGTGGACTTGCCCACGGGGGGCTGTTTCAGTCCCTTACCCTTTTCTTTGTCCACCATTTAGTCTCTCAAAGGGGTAAAAATGGCACTTTGTTGATCATTTCATCAATCATTTAGAAAGGGGGCATAGCACGAGGTTTCATAAACCTGGCATGGGTGGCAGCCTGTCAGTGCAAAGGGTGGAAAGAGACGGGACCATTTTTTACAATGCAAAGGGAACGGGAAATGCCTGACAAGGGCAGCTTTTCCTGGTGTGGCGAGTGCATGGTAAAACTTTTTCTGGACTGTGCTGCTTCTTCCCATAAGCCTGGGCAGAAAGACCTCTGGCCTAAAGGCCAGGTAGAGCCCACCACAGGAATTCTCCCTAGGTCATGCTGTTCTCTCTCCAAGGGACTTCTCCTTTACAGCACTTGGCTCTGTCCATTATTTTAAACCCAGGTCTTAGTTAATGGAACTCTATCCCCATCGTGGCTTAGATGGGCTCTGTCAGCTGGGACTCTGAAGGAGTGTCTGAAGACCAGTCTCTTTGGTCAAGGATTCCAGGACGGAAGGCCTTCATCCTCCACTTTCCTGTCTGATTCTGATTCTGAAACCTTTAAGAGCATTCACAAACTACAACAGCACTAGGAAAACGGGAGAAGTAAAATTACACAAATTAGAAGCAAGAAGAAGGGGACAGTTTCCAGAATTACAGATAGAAAACCTGCCACTTTGCTGTCTTTTAAACTTTGACAGAAATCCAGTGTTGCATTAGCAGCCACTCACTAGTGCATCGGAATGGTCTTTCCCCTGCATCCTCTGGCTAGCTGCACTGCCGGGAAAAATGCTCTGGAGGAGTTTGAGAGCATATTTTGAGGACATAGGGGCACAGGGCCTAAGGAAATGTGGAATCACTTCTCTCCCAGCTCTACTACCGGAAGCAGCTTGCATGTAGTGGAAGAACCTCTGAGGTTCAGCCATTTGCATTTCTCATTTAATAAGCAAATCTTTGGGATTATCACTAGTAAGTGCTCTGTCATAAAAAAAAAAGATACAACATAGCTCAGTTTCATACTGCAACCCCTGAAGAGCCATGACATTCAATGGATTGACCTTGGAAAACCACTAGAGCTATGCCATTTGGCTGTTTCGGACCCCAGAGGCCCCAGTTCTCCATTCTGGGAGTCCCAGCTGACACACAGACACTTACAAACACATGAATGTGGCTTACCTGGGAGAAAGGCCTAAACTGGGAGGAGGCTTTGTGGCTTAATGAGACCTAACTCCACCTGGCTTCTTGTTCAAAAAAGGAAGTTCTCACCAAGCACCAGAGAACCTTCCGTTTTTAAACAGGAGGCTAGGTCTCTGCCAGGGCATGAAACCTTCCAGCTTAGGCCTAGGTGCCTGTGGAACCTCCTTTTCTGAACAAGAAGCTAGGTGGAGCTAGGCCTCAGCCAAGCTGCAAAGCTTTCCTGTTGGCGACTTTCTCCCAAGTCAGCCACCTATAGGTGTCTGGTCTGTAAGGGGAGACTCCCAAAGTGTAGAGGTCTAGAAAAGCAAATGGCACATCTCTCCCAGCTACAATTTCAGCCCTAACATCCACTACGGGGATGCCAAGGCGAAGGAGAACCATCTTTGTCAACCTAATAGAAGCTTGGAAGACAAGTGGAGACACAGTGGATCATTCCAGGCTGGAGGCAGGCATTGCATGATGGGTTGTTCCCTTGTATTTTAACAATAACAACCTCCCAAAAAATATCCCCCCAAACCTAGAAAACTAGTTGCTGAAACTATGGTTATCCCAACATACTGGTTCTCCCTCCTTAATTCCAGACCCAGGACTAAACCAGTATGCCATCTTTCATCCACTATCTAACGCTTCTAAGTCTAGGAGTAGTTTTTATACTGTGACCTGCTGTTTCTGCATAGGCCAGTTCTGAGAATAGCTGGAACTCAAACAGAGACATCCCTGCTTCTCAAGAAGTTGCAGTCAGAGAGCATGTCCAAGTCAGCTGCTTTGGGGATCATACCAGAGCTTTGAAAAATTCCTCTTTTGGACTGTTGCCTCCTAAGATTCCACAGTCAGCTTTGAGCTGTAGCCCCAAAAATGTAATTTTTCTGAGCTGTGGGTCTTGGTGAATAAATACTGCTGTTGTACATCAGCTAGTGGCATCCTGCATTTGTGAAGCTGGAATCCAGACTGCAATGTTTATAGAAGTTAGCCTTTCCTCTGTGCAGCATGCGTCGGTCCCTTTTTAAAACAACGCTAGCTACCCAACAGTGAGCCTGTCTCTTCTGTTCCAGGCCAGTACTGGAGCTCGGTGCGACGCTTTGCTCCCACAGTGGGCTACTCATTCATGGAAGCACAGCAGCACGACACGGAAGAGGTGGAGACGGTGACAGCGCTGGCCTCGCTTTCGGTGATGGCAGAAAAGAGGTGATGTGTTGCATCTTTACTCCAGCTGGGGTATTCTGGAAGCTGTGATCCAAAAATGCAACTTGCGGACCATTTTGCAGACTATGGAGGCAATTTTTGCCAAGCGAAAGCCTCAGGCAGAAGGCCTTGCCCCCTAACCAAATGCCAAACACCATTCGTTGTTTAGAATAAATATTTGGCCCTTTAAACCTTACATCACAAACAATTCACAGGATGGAAACAAAGACTTGAAATGTTTCCCAAGAACAAAAGGCATCCCACCACAGCCATTCTCCCTCTTCAGTGTGTGAACAGTTTCAACAAATGAAGCTACAGTGGGGTCTCTACTTAAGAACGTCTCTACTTAAGAACAATCCAACTTAAGAACAATCCAACATTTGGCCCTTTAAACCTTACATCACAAACGATTCACAGGATGGAAACAAAGACTGAAATGTTTCCCAAGAACAAAAAGCATCCCACCACAGCCACCCTCCCTCTTCAGTATGCGAACAGTTTCAACAAATGAAGCTACAGTGTTTCTTTTTAGAAGATAGAGCATCAGCTCCATTTGCTAAATTTTGCTTCTACTTGAGAACAGAAATCCAAGATAAGAACAGGAAAAAAACCTTTCCTGCTCTTTTTTTAAGGTCATCTTAGGTTAAAAAAAATTATCCCACTAGTGGTAGAGTACGTATTAACCAGCTTTGCATTAGTTCCTATGGGAACTAATGCTTCAACGTACGAACGCACCTCTACATAACAAAAAAAAACAGCCAGAACAGATTAATTGGTTTTCAGTCCATTCCTATGGGAAATTTTGCTTCAACTTAAGAACGTTTTGACTTAAGAACACCATTCCAAAACGGATTAAGTTCTTAAGTAGAGGTTCCACTGTAGTTTCTATGGCCGGAAAAGAGCAGATACAGATTAAATGGTTTTTAATGCATTCCTATGGGAAATGCAGATTCAACGTAAGAACTTTTCAACTTGAGAACCACCTTCCAATACGGATTAAGTTCTTAAGTAGAGACCCCACTGTACAGCGTTTCTTTTTAGAAGGCAGAGCACTTTGTGTCTCACGTTCATTGAGATGATGGCATCAGGTTCACGAGAGCCCTAACCCTAGAGAAGAGACATCCACCATTTTGTGGAGAGTCAGTGGGAGAGAGTCAGGGCTCACTTTGTCACTCTTCAGCTTCCAGATCCCTCATGTCAACAAGACCACAGTGGATGCTAGCCGTTGTCCCTGAAAAATTAATTTTCCTATCCCTTGGATATAGTAGATGATAGATACAGGCCTAGGAAATGTGGGTTCCAATGCACACTCCCTCAGTGGAGTTCAGTTGGTGGCCTTGGTCTGATGTGCCTGGCAAGGTGGTTGAGAGTATAAAACAAGATTGTGCTGATACATTGCCAGAAGTTCATTGCAGAAGATAGAAAACAGATATGGCTGACTAAGGTGGTGCTGGCCTGCACCAACTAGTTCATGATAACTGTACTCCCTTGTACCCAATAAATATAAAGTATATTGTGTGCTCAGGAATCTGCTGTCCATATTGGGAGACTGGAACAAATTTGCAGCGGTCTGCTAGCGACCATTTCAGAATTGTATGACACAAAATGTATGTGTTTTGCCCTTTCCACCTTAATCAAGAGGTAGGCTTTTGCTGCTTTGTGGATCTTCTGCATAGTTTTCAAGAGCAGTCGCATACAAAGTGCGTTGTGGGAGTCAGTCTCCGAAGTTATGCATGCACGTGCAATAGGGCTGTGAGGTGAGATGCACCCTGGGGGAGGGGGGGATATCTCGTAAACAGTCTTATTATCCTTTTTCTATTTCTCTGACAAAGCTACAGCTGCCAGGGTTCCTTGGGAAGAGGGAATTCCTGTTAAAATTGCCTGTGTCTAAGGTGTCAGTAACCACTGGGATCCTCCAGACCTTGTGACTTTCCCAGTGTATTATCCTAACTATTCTCTCCTGGTTTTCTCTGCTTTAGGCGGCAGGATGACCCAATGGAAGAAGAGCCCATGAACCAGTGAAGGCGTGTTTCGTCTGCCCAACGGAGACACAGCTTCCTCTGTGGCTCGTTCCTCCTGTTACAGTCCAGGCTCCTGCCTACTGCGCTGCCCACATTACCTGGAGCCACAAAGCTGGAAAACTGACTCAGAGTTCCAATAGGGACTTAATAGATGGGGCAGATGGCAGATCCCCCAGGTTTAGTAGCTGCCCCTGGGCACTGCCCACATGTGGATTCCCACAGGACAAGCAGTCATCCCAGACCAACGGTCTTCCATTCTGGGAACCACAAAAGTTGTCTGGTGGGACACGGGAGACTGGATAACGGACTGCAAAACTGGAGCGTTTACTCTGACGTTGGGGTGGTGACTTTTCCCCTCCAGAACCAAAGATGTCCCACAGACAGTTCCTGCTGGGGAAAGGCCAGGAGGCTATTCTCTTTCTCTAGGCGAGACCCGTTCCCTTCATCCTGGGCATCTCTCTTCATCAAGGGGATGGGGCTTGTAAGAGGAGAGCTTTCAGAACCACCCTTTGATGTCCAGCCGCTGGCAGCATCTTTGAAGACTGACCCTGCCCAGTTCCTGCTTAACCACTGTCCCAAACCTACCCCCTTTTGGGTCTAGAACCTCTTTAATTTGCACTATATACAGATTGTTACAGATGCAGGCATGGTCTGCTTTCCATCGGACTTTGTGGGGAACAAATTGCTCCTTCTCCTGCAGCCAGGCCCTTGACCTTCGGCATCCAGGTGCAAAGTCAATGCACCGCTCCCTCCCCCCTTGCAGTTGCGTGTGCCCCTGGGATTTGCTCTGATCCATCAAAGTAGGCAGCCTTCTTCCAAAGAGCAGACTTTGGCCGGAGGCGGGGGAGAGAAGGGAGGAGAGAAAGGAAGCAGGGCAGTTTGTTCTCTGTCATCCCTATTAATTTGACTTCCTGTAAATCTTTCTATTTGGGGGAATGTGTTGGTGTTTTTTTTTTTAATTCCCCTGTTTATCAACAAGGAAATATACAGACATGGATCTAATCCTTACTCTATCCATGAAAATGTGCAGGCTGTGCCCTTGCATAGAAGGGTGTGGGTCCTATGCAGATGTCATGGCCTCATGGCTGTTTATGACAAGGGAGCTAATCTTGGAGCTACCAGCATGACAGATATTTTAGCAGGAAAAATAAAAGGCACTTCCTTGTAGTTAAAACAAAAAAATTGCAGATCCCATGCAGTGAACATGCCTGACGATGTCACACACTTCTTTTTACTGGAACGCCACAGTCAGTGACACCTTCCCAAGGCGTAGATGGCTAGGTGCCTATGACAGCCATCCACTATATATATAATGAATTATTTTCTTACATTCGAATATTTTCCACATGTGGGCTATTTACCATGTTCAGAGGGGGCCCCTAGTTCTTCCTCTTGGTGCAGAGGTGCAGAAGGAGAAGAGCTACATCATTTGGGGGGGCTCAGAGGGAGGGGGGTTGCTGGCCAAGACATGGGGCAGGATGCAGTGTACAGTCCATGTATAGAAATGCTTTTGGATCTAAACCAGCCAGTAAATTGAGCCTTTTCTGCAACTCAAGTTTTTGTTTTGTTTTGTTCGGGTAGGGGGGAAATTCTTGAAAGCAAGACCTTTGTTCCTTCACCTGGGCTGTTTTCCCACTTGCCAAACCTGAATCAGGATCTCAATTAGAAACTGTCCCAGCTAAGTAGGGAGCACCATGATGGTGAGGAAGGACGATGGGGAAGGATGTTGGCAAGGACTGGTTCCTTTGCATCACCAAAAGACTTTTTAAAAGTTGGCTTAGCATTGGAGGAAGTAATACATTGGCTGTAGGTCTAATTTCTGGGGTCCACCAACTCCGTCTTCTTCCACCGCCTGAGGAAAGACTCTGCCCTTCCAGTCTGAAGGATTCTGTAATACAGGAAAGCATCCCGGTGACCTCAAGAGCCATAGAGAACGTCAGCAATAGCTGCCAAATTTCTGTGTGGGTGGTACAGCCCCTGATCATTTGAGAGATCTAGAAATCCCAGAGGGGGGAAGGGAGAGAGAGCTGCAGCAAGATGACTTGCCCCTTTCAAAGTCCACCACTGCAGCCGGAGCAAGAGGAAGGGACACCTTTTTCTCCAGTAAGAAAGGGTTAATACCAGCTGCAGACGACAGTGTTTCAGTGCCATATTGGACTCCAGATTTCCGACATAAACCTGGAACAAGGTATTCTAGCCCCTTCCACCATTGGAAAAGCATCACTGGGGTCACCAAATCAGGGGTGGGCATCACTGGAAAAGCTCCACGGGCATAGATCTAACAGATCTAGGTCCATGGAGCTTTCTTCAAACATACCAGACATCCTGAACAGAGCTTTTCTCTGCCAGCAGATGATTGCATCCTAAACCATTCCCAACTAACCTCCATTGGAGGTCAATAATTGATCTGCCCATCATTTTATAATATATATATTTTTTGCTAACATGATTTACATACCATATTTCAACAAGTTCCATACAGAGCCAAGACTGCTGACCTTATTCAAAAATAACACTGTTTAAAAATCCAACTGAGAACAAAATTGCAATTCTACCTAATAAATCTAGTTCTGTGTTGTATATTTATTATTCAATAAGTTTGGATGGCGCTGTGTCTAGTCGTGCTGGCCACCCTACCTAATAAATCTAGTTCTGTGTTGTATGTTTATTATTCAATAAGTTTGGACGGCGCTCAGTGTCTAGCCACACTGGCCACATGACCACCTAAACTGTCTTCGGACAAACGCTGGTTCTACGGCTTGGAGACGGGGATGAGCACAGCGCCCTAGAGTCGGACCCACTGGACTAAATGTCAAGGGGAACTTTTAACTTTACGTAAGTTTGGAAAGTGTAATAAGGTTCTGCCTCCATGAAGGGAGGGAGAGGTCAGCAGGTGGGCAGTTGAAGTAATCAAAAGTTCCTTGGCATTAAAGAGTCCTTCGTTTTGTTTAGTCATGTCCGACTCTTCGTGACCCCATGGACCAGAACACGCCAGGCCCTCCTATCTTCCACCGCCTCCCGGAGTTGTGTCAATTTCATGTTGGTTGCTTCGCAGACACTGTCCAGCCATCTCATCCTCTGTCATCCCCTCCTCCTGTTGCCGTCACACTTTCCCAACATCAAGGTCTTTTCCAAGGAGTCTTCTCTTC